ATCAGAGTTCAATCCCCGGTACCAAAAATAAATAAATAAAACATAAAGAAGTGATAGGGATGTAACTCAGTGTGAGGACCTTGGGTTCAATACACACACACAAACACACACACACACGTGCACGCATGCATGCCTGCTCATACACAATTAAAAAGCAACCTTATTTATTATTCTTTCCACTACTGTCAAGAATCTGCAAACAAAGCCACCTGTAATCCCAGCACTGGGGAGGCTCAGGCAGGAGGATGCTGTGAGTTCAAGGTCAGCTTGGGCCACATCGTGAGTTCAAGGCTAGCCTGAAAGGCATAGTGAGACCATCTCCAAATACAAAACAAAACAAAAATAAAAGAAATCTGCAAACAATTTATTCAATCTGAGCTTGGGAGCCCACATCAGACTTGCTGAAATGACTGGGAGAAGGTTAGGATATTCATAAAAAGAGACTAAAGCCTTGACTCTCTTTGGATGATGGTCCTTTCACTAGTAAACTCCTTTTCTATTTTCAAGATACCATCCACATCCACCACTTCCAAGACTTGGGGAAGTTTAGGGCATAGCTAGAGCAAGAGTGACGATGCAGCCATTGGCAGGATTTTACCAACATGTTTTTCCTATGGCTGCAATATTGCTACACTCTGAACTGAACACCCTAGAAATGGTGAAACGAGGAAAGACAGAGGGACCAATCTTCCTCTAAGCCTATGGAGGTGAGTATCAGGCTTTAGGTAATATAAATCTGCCTTGATGGCCTTCAAATCACAAACTGTTTGATCTAGTTATAAGATACTTTTGACATTTCCCACTTGGCTCTGGTTATTGGTTGATTGCTTTATCTTGTTTATTAAAAAAATAATCTCAGAGCCCCATTCTTCCCAGGATACTCTTTACTCATTGTCTACCTTTATAAACTTTTTATCACTAAAGTTTCAAACACAGAAATGGAAAGAGAATAGATAAATAGGAATAGATAAATAGATATTTTCCTGTCACCCAACTCAATTGACAAATTTTTTGCCACTCCAAAAGACAAGTAGTTTCCATGAAAACAAACTATCTGTTTGGTCCAGAATAAAAAAAAAAAAAATGCCTAGCTGGGCAAGGTGGTGCACACCTGTAATCCCAGCAGTTGGGAGGCTGAGGCAGGAGGATCACTGAGTTTGAGACCAACTTGGGCTCCTCCTCCTCCTTCCTCTTCCTCCTGGGGATCAGAACCTTTCAATTGTGAGGCAGAAGCAGCACCACTGAGCTAAGTCCCTGGCCCTGCATTCTATAGGTTTGGAAAATGCAAAATGCCATGTGGCCACTGTTACAGTATCATACAGAATAATTTCGCTGCCCTAAAAATTATGTGTTTCACGTGTCCATCCCTCTATTTCCTCCCCAGCCCCAACAGTGATCTTTTTACTGTATGTTATGGTTTATATCTAGATGTCCCCTAAAAGCCTCATGTGTGCAGAGGCGGGGCATTGGGGAGGTGAATGGATCCTAGGGGGACTATACGCTCTGTGGATTATTCCACTGATGAACTTATAGTAAATGTGATATTAGGAAGTGGGGTCTGGGTAGCAGAGTTGGAGCACTGGGGACACAGGAAGGGTCTCTCTCCCTTCCTGGCTCCTCCCTGTCTCTCTGCTTCCTCAATGCCACAAAGTAGTAAGCTGTTCTGCCACCATGCCCCTGTGCCATGTCTCCCTGCACTGGAGTCAGCGACTATGGACTGAAATATGAGCCAAGAGCTGCTCCTTTTTTTTTTTTTTTTTTTTTTTTTTTGGTACTGGGGCTTGAACTCAGGCCCTGTGCTTGCAAGGCAGGCAGTGGCAACACTGAGCTAAATCCCTGGCCCAAACCTTTCTTTTTGGTTGTAGGAGTTGTATATTTTATTCCCAAAAGGAGAAAAGTAACTAAGACACGGTCTCAGGAGTTTTGAGTTTTCCAGAATGTCTTACAGTTGGAATCATACAGTTTGCAACTTTTTCAGAATCATTTTTTCATTTAATAATATGCATTTACATTTCCACCATGTCTTTTCATGATTCATAACTCATCTGTTTTGGGTATTAAATAATATTCCATTGTATGGGTGTACCACAGTATACTTATCCATTTACGTATTAAAGAACAGTTTGGTTGCTTCCACATTTTGAAAGTTATAAATAAAGCTCCTAAAAACATTTATGTATGTGGACATGTTTTCTTGTTTTTGTTTTTTTGGTACCAGGGATTTAATTTGGGACTTTGCACTTGCAAGGCAAGTGGCAGGAACCACTGAGCTAAATCCCCCTCCACGACATAAGTTTTATTTATTTATTTATTTGTTTATTTTGTTTTTTGAGACAGGGTCTCACTACTTAGTGAGACTGACCTGGAACTCACTATTTAGCCCAGGCTGGTCTTGAACTCAGAGCAATCCTCGTGCCTCAGCCTCCCCAGTGCTGAGATTACAGGTGTGCGCCACCACGCCCGGCCACTAAGGACAAATTTTAAACTCATTCAGGTAAATACAAAAGAATAATGCCACTGAGTCATATGGTAAGAGTATGTTTTGTTTCCTCCAAAGCAGTTCACCATTTTACATTCCTATAAGCAATCAAAGAGTTCCTGTTGATCCACATCCACACCAGCATATTTTCTTATCAGAGTTTTGGATTTTGACTAAATAATAGTTGTGCTGTGATAACATCATTGCTTCAATTTGCAATTCCCTAGTGACATATGCAGTTGAGTATCTTTTCATATACTTATTTACCATATGTATAGTATATCTTTTTCAGCTATGTATCTGTTTAGGTCTTCTATCTTTTTTTAGACAGGATCTTACTATATAGTCCAGGATGCTCTTGAACTTGCAGTTCTCCTCAGCCTCCTGAGTGCTATGTCACCATGCCCAGTGCTTTTTCTTTTCTTTCTTTCTTTCTTTCTTTCTTTTTTTTTTTTAAGACAGGATCTCACTATGTAGTTCAGGCTGGTTTTAAATTCACGATGTAACCAAGACTGGCCTTGACCTTGCAGCGATCCTCCTGCCTAAGCCTTCTGAGTGCTGAGATCACAGGTGTGCACCACCACACCTGGTTGTCATATATCCCCCCTCCCTGTACCGTACTGAGAATCAAACTCAGGATCTTGTGCTTGCTAGGCAGACTTGGTGCCACTGAGCAAAATCCAAGCCCTGATTGTTTTATACTTTAAAAATTAGATTATGTGCATTTATTGCTCTCTTTGCATTGAAGAAATCCTTCCAAATCAACTGGGATAGATCTAACATAGTCTTTGTTATGGTTACATATTTCATGGTATGAATGCTTCACAGTTTATCAAACATTTTCTGTGAATGGTTATTCTCCTTGCAGCCAGTTTTTACCATCACAAACAATGTTGCAATGTCCACCCCTGTGCTTACTTCCTTGCACACTGGCACTTTGATTTTTACATGAAAGGAAGATTCAGTTGGTGGTTAGGAACACAAGCTCTACATTCAGACTAAATGTGAAAGCCACTCATCTTTGTTGTTGTTGTTGTTGTTGTTTGGTACGAGATTGAACTCGGGTCCTTGCGCTTGCAAGGCAGGCGGCGGAACCACTGAGCTAAAACCCCAGCCCCTTTACTTATTATCTTGTCACCTTGGGCAAGTCACCTGATGCTCCCCCAAAATTGAATAATACTAACTCACAGTGTTGTTGCAACAATTAAATAATAATATTTTATTGTGCATGGAACAGAATCTGGCACAAAGTAAATACTCAATAATGTTATTGTTAAGAGATAAATTCCTAGCAGTGGGTTTGCTTGATTAAAGGGCATTTTGTTGTTGTTTGTTTGTTTGTTTTTTGAGGTAGTGTCTCACTATTCTGCCCAGCTGGCCTGAGACTCCTGGGCTCAAGCTGTTCACCCAACCCAACCTTGTGAGTAGCTGGAACTACAGGCCTGCACCACCACACCTGTCCTTGAATGAGACTATCTTCAAGGTTGCTGGGCAATGAAAGCAAAGAAAGCACTTATCAGTAAATGAGGTCCAGATGCATGTGTCCTTTGTCTCAGCTTTGGATCCTTCACTCCTCTTTAAGCGTATTGTTAGCATTCATTACAGATAGGAGTGGTTATCTAACATTTTGAGGTTTAAAAAAAATAGGACAGTCATGTAATATAGCAGGGTTCTAAAAAAATAGCAAGTCTCATGAATGAGATACTGAGCATTAAAATTGAAGAAATACAGTATTGTATGGATTTGTCCCAGGAGAATAATTCAGGTGGTTTCTTTTATCAATAGATTTCTAGGCTACCTCTTTATATCATCACTTGAGCGTCTAGATACAAATTCTTTTCAGTAAAACACTGAACATTTACTAGTGTGCCATTTAGTGTATGACCATCTGCAAGAGTTCCAAAAATCAACAATGTGAAAATCATTTTTTATCAGTACAAAACTATTTTTGTATATGCCTGAGCCAATACAAACAGTATCATTTGACAACACAGGTGATGTGAAAAATAATTTAATGTCTTGGCACTTTAGGTTCCCGAGGTTGGAATCTCCTGTTCAGTTTTAGAGGCCAGGATGGCTTTGGACGTTCATCAGCATGGGTCTATACGATTCTGTCCCTCCTTAAAGGGCCAGCCCAGGCGCTGCTCCACCAAATGTTTCCTTATAAAGCACAGTATTTTGCTCTTCCTCGCCACTCTCATACATCCTGCATTTATCAAGCAGTTAGCATATATTCTTGTCAATATTGCTTTTGTATGTCAAACGGGATAGATCTTTAGGGAAGACCGGCGCACCATCCCTCCATTGTATCACCTTAAGAGGCGGCCACTCACAATTTGCCACCCATCATGGAAACATACTCCACTCATAAATCTAAGGGACTGCCTCGTTAACCTTGGGTTCCTATTTCCCTCTCACTTTCAGTAATCTAGTTTTATTCCATGGGTGGAGAAGGAAGCCAGGTCGGCTGGGTGAGAAGGAATGGCGTCATTGTGAGGTCACGGTACATTGTCCCGAATGCCATCTGCGGGGGAGGGGTACAAGGGGTATCCATCACGCCGAGGTGACGGGGATGCAAGATTCAGGGATGCACCTGTAAGAAAGATAGAGGCCGAAGAAGCATAGACTATAGGCAAAAGGGGGAACGGGAGAGAACAATGCAGGGAGCCTAGCAAGCATAAGCAGGGCATCTGAAGGAAAGCCGAGAGAGCCCGCTGAGAGTGAAAGTGATGAGCTAGAGGCCTGGCAGAGGCCCAGGGGATGGGGGCGGGACTTCCGGAATCCATTTGCCTGAGTGGCAGGGGAACCGGAAGTGGAGTAACTGCTGCTGGTGCTGGGGCCCGAGGAGGGACGCGCCAGAGCGGGGCCACCGGGACTGAGCGAGCGACAGACGCGCCACCCGCCGACTCCGCAGCCTCTTGGGGCCCGCACGGACCCTCTACCTGAGTGAGTGCATCCAGGGTTGCG